AAATTTCCATTAAAATTTGGAGCTTCTAAATCACGTTAAAAAAAGTAATGGAATGTAAAAAGTAGACATTGAAACGTTATTTCAAACGTATACCAAATAGATTAAATACATTAAATACTAGTTAAATACGTTAAATACTTGACAACTATTGACAGACTAAATTGATCAACAATACGTAAGTGTAAACTTGTCCTTATTTTCTAATTGTAATTTTTTCCTTTTATTTTAAAGTCCTTTATGTGTTATTAAATTCTCATTATGTTATTCATAAATATAAATTAGATTTTGGCTTTTAAGTTGTGATAGTGACCATGTTGTATTGTCGGATAACAGCGACCTCTTTAACCACACATGGCAGAAAGTACCATCCTTAAAGCGAATATAAATATTCCAACCAAATTAACTACTAGTATCTTCCTTCCAAATCCATTTTTCTTTGTATCTTGATTTGATTTCTACTGCTTTTTTATGATTAATGATTAAGTTAAGTTTGTACACGTAAACAGATATACATGAAATAATTATAATGAGCCCAGATGACCATACATTCTGTTTCCATTAACGAGGCCATATTGATGTACTATATGGTAATAAAAATTTAGGTCAGTTTTTAGTTAGCTGAAATAATTTCATTTGTTTGATTACTATTTTGTTGAAGTTGTACAAAAAATGTTTTCGTGTATGTTTATATGCAACTAACTGTCATAATTAATAGAAATTCGTTGTCGATAAAAAATGGCATTAGTTTGAATAAGTAAAACAAAGGATTTAAAGTTAAAAAGAAAGATTCATCAAAGCTCAATTTTTGGAACGGGTTCCTATTAATGTCAGAAAGATTCATCAAAGTTCAATTTTTGGAACATGGAATGGTTCCTATTAATGTCTCTTATTCGAACTTTAGATGGGTTTCAGTGAACGGTGAAAATCAGTTAAACTTTACTTATGATCAAAAAGTATTATTTTTGTGACTGCACAATAATTTAGAAAAGGGGTTTCATAAGTTGCAAACGTGATTATTAGTATTACCCACCACCATAGTGTTTGTAAACCAACGGCATGAAAATGTGATTTATGTTCTTAGTTTAAGAACATGATATGTTAGTCTCTAATTAAGCAATGGAGTTCACACATTTAGCATTCGTAAGCCTATCAACAATCACCCAAATCGAATCATGTCCTCTTAAAGTATTAGGTAACCCTGTCACAAAGTCCATTGAAATGTTATCTCATTTCCATTCTGGAACTTCCAACGGTTGCATCAATCCTGCAGGCTGACAAGTCAAACATGCATACACTTCTGAAGGAATAAAATATGTAAATATACACGTGTATACCGACAATTGTGATTTATTTTTTTAAACACTTCTGAACGAAAAAAAAAATGTGTTAATATGTATGTATATATACCGACAATATATCAATGTCGGAGTTGTGTTCGATATACCTGTGCTTTATAAAAATTTAGGTCAATTTTTAGTTAGCTGAAATAATTTCATTTGTTTGATTACTATTTTGTTGAAGTTGTACAAAAAAAGTTTTCATGTGTGTTTACGTGCAACTAACCGTCATAATTAATAGAAACTCGTTGCCGATAAAAAATGGCATTAGTTTGAATAAGTAAAACAAAGGATTTAAAGTTAAAAAGAAAGATTCATCAAAGCTCAATTTTTGGAACGGGTTCCTATTAATGTCAGAAAGATTCATCAAAGTTCAATTTTTGGAACATGGAATGGTTCCTATTAATGTCTCTTATTCGAACTTTAGATGGGCTTCAGTGAACGGTGAAAATCAGTTAAACTTTACTTATGATCAAAAAGTATTATTTTTGTGACTGCACAATAATTTAGAAAAGGGGTTTCATAAGTTGCAAACGTGATTATTAGTATTACCCACCACCATAGTGTTTGTAAACCAACGGCATGAAAATATGATTTATGTTCTTAGTTTAAGAACATGATATGTTAGTCTCTAATTAAGCAATGGAGTTCACACATTTAGCATTCGTAAGCCTATCAACAATCACCCAAATCGAATCATGTCCTCTTAAAGTATTAGGTAACCCTGTCACAAAGTCCATTGAAATGTTATCTCATTTCCATTCTGGAACTTCCAACGGTTGCATCAATCCTGCAGGCTGACAAGTCAAACATGCATACACTTCTGAAGGAATAAAATATGTAAATATACACGTGTATACCGACAATTGTGATTTATTTTTTTAAACACTTCTGAACGAAAAAAAAATGTGTTAATATGTATGTATATATACCGACAATGTATCAATGTCGGAGTTGTGTTCGATATACCTGTGCTTTATAAAAATTTAGGTCAGTTTTTAGTTAGCTGAAATAATTTCATTTGTTTGATTACTATTTTGTTGAAGTTGTACAAAAAAAGTTTTCATGTGTGTTTATGTGCAACTAACTGTCATAATTAATAGAAACTCGTTGCCGATAAAAAATGGCATTAGTTTGAATAAGTAAAACAAAGGATTTAAAGTTAAAAAGAAAGATTCATCAAAGCTCAATTTTTGGAACAGGTTCCTATTAATGTCAGAAAGATTCATCAAAGTTCAATTTTTGGAACATGGAATGGTTCCTATTAATGTCTCTTATTCGAACTTTAGATGGGCTTCAGTGAACGGTGAAAATCAGTTAAACTTTACTTATGATCAAAAAGTATTATTTTTGTGACTGCACAATAATTTAGAAAAGGGGTTTCATAAGTTGCAAACGTGATTATTAGTATTACCCACCATCATAGTGTTTGTAAACCAACGGCATGAAAATATGATTTATGTTCTTAGTTTAAGAACATGATATGTTAGTCTCTAATTAAGCAATGGAGTTCACACATTTAGCATTCGTAAGCCTATCAACAATCACCCAAATCGAATCATGTCCTCTTAAAGTATTAGGTAACCCTGTCACAAAGTCCATTGAAATGTTATCTCATTTTCATTCTGGAACTTCCAACGGTTGCATCAATCCTGCAGGCTGACAAGTCAAACATGCATACACTTCTGAAGGAATAAAATATGTAAATATACACGTGTATACCGACAATTGTGATTTATTTTTTTAAACACTTCTGAACGAAAAAAAAATGTGTTAATATGTATGTATATATACCGACAATGTATCAATGTCGGAGTTGTGTTCGATATACCTGTGCTTTATAAAAATTTAGGTCAGTTTTTAGTTAGCTGAAATAATTTCATTTGTTTGATTACTATTTTGTTGAAGTTGTACAAAAAAAGTTTTCATGTGTGTTTACGTGCAACTAACTGTCATAATTAATAGAAACTCGTTGCCGATAAAAAATGGCATTAGTTTGAATAAGTAAAACAAAGGATTTAAAGTTAAAAAGAAAGATTCATCAAAGCTCAATTTTTGGAACAGGTTCCTATTAATGTCAGAAAGATTCATCAAAGTTCAATTTTTGGAACATGGAATGGTTCCTATTAATGTCTCTTATTCGAACTTTAGATGGGCTTCAGTGAACGGTGAAAATCAGTTAAACTTTACTTATGATCAAAAAGTATTATTTTTGTGACTGCACAATAATTTAGAAAAGGGGTTTCATAAGTTGCAAACGTGATTATTAGTATTACCCACCACCATAGTGTTTGTAAACCAACAGCATGAAAATATGATTTATGTTCTTAGTTTAAGAACATGATATGTTAGTCTCTAATTAAGCAATGGAGTTCACACATTTAGCATTCGTAAGCCTATCAACAATCACCCAAATCGAATCATGTCCTCTTAAAGTATTAGGTAACCCTGTCACAAAGTCCATTGCATACACTTCTGAAGGAATAAAATATGTAAATATACACGTGTATACCGACAATTGTGATTTATTTTTTTAAACACTTCTGAACGAAAAAAATGTGTTAATATGTATGTATATATACCGACAATGTATCAATGTCGGAGTTGTGTTCGATATATCTGTGTTTTATAACATCGATTTCAAGGTTTTGTTCCAATGGAAAGCAGCAACATTTTGAGCCTATATAAGCTAGTTTCACTCAGTTTATATGCACTGAAAATAATGTAGTCTTCCAATGGAATGAAATGGAAGGCATCTAGTGGTGAATAGATAAAAGGATATCCTAACCTTTGTTCTTTGAAGATAAATATCCTTAAAAGAAAGCCTATATTAATGACAAAGATAAACAATAGTACATCAATTAGCCGTTCATAAATTTGAGGCTTTCTGATGTCCCCATTCATAAACAATAGTACATCAATTAGCCATTCATAAATTTGAGTTTTTCTAAGGGACAGCACTGCAGTCTTCAAGTCTGAATTTTTTCATTCAAACCAAGTCAAGTATCTCAATCCAAGTTTCCCTCAAATTTTGGTGGACCAAGATTGATGATATGATGAATCATCATATTGCTTCTTTCCACTTTACAGTGGGAGCCAAAGACAATTTTACAATCAAAAATAGAAAAATTCACCTGAGTTAGGAACATTCAAGAACATCTCGTGTATATTCCAAAGACTTCCATCAAAGAAAATTGAATCTATTATAAAGATTTGAAAGGAAAGAAAACATAAAAAACACCAAGAAACAAATTTGATAACAAAAGGAAAAACAATAACATTAACCATTGATAAAAAAAGCATAAAGAGTATGCAATTGGTATCTGTACACACTCAAATTTATCAGACTACTAGAAAGGCCTATGATATCCCTCTAAACAAAATCCATAGAATCTGTCACAATCTATTAAGCCTATAGATGTACAGAAAACATAAAAACAAATCAATCTTCAACCAAAGATTTGAAGATCCTGAACCTCTAATAAGCCCTTCTCTAAAGTATAGTTCGCTATACAAGAACAAAACGAGCAATCTATTTACTCGACCTAATCCAAAACACAACAGAACTGTGTTTCATTTCATCATAACTTATGCTTCTATTCTCTACAAATTTACTCAAATCAAGCAAGTTAATGCTTCTCTTCTCGGGCAGTTTTACTCAAATCAAGGAAACAATGTAACCGATATATCAGCAAGTTTCCTAGTACTCAACCTTGACTTAGATTTCTTCAACATCAATGGTGCATTTGGAGCTTCAGTTTCATCAGAAGCATTTTCAATATCGAACGGTGAACGAACAGCAGCAACAGAGTTTTTCTTTGGTGTACTGAACTCAAAATGCATCTGCTTAGCAATCACACACTGCAAAATCAAAACCAAAAAAAAGTTTTAAAAAAAAAAAAGCAAAATCACTCAAATAACACAATGAATCAACAATAAAAAAAAAGATTATATCATGAAAATTGACACTTACTGCTTCTCTAATTGTTGTAGAAACATCAAAAACTTGATCCAAATCATCATGATCCACACCACACAAAACCCTAACCTGCAATTAATCCAAAAAAAAAATCAAATTAAATTCATATAAAGAAATAAATTTCAGCATAACTAAATAGATAACCGAAATCGAAATCCTAGAATGAAAAATGAAATTACCAGAACATCCTGAGGGAGGGCTTCAAGACGAGATTTCTCCGAAATGAAATTGAATTTTCCGCTACACATTCGCTTCAACGAAGACCCTATCAGAATCGGTTCATCATCGCCAGAAGAAGAAGAAGATTCATGGTTATTGGAAACAACAACCCTCTTCCTTCCAAGTGCACGGCCATAACTATAACTGTCGAACCCTAAACCCATAACTGCAACGGTTCTAAAATCAACGCGCTCAAAAAGAGAGAAAAAATCAACACAGTTTAATTAATCTGTTTATTTATTTTCCAGTATGAAAATGAAATAGAGAAGAAAAAATCAAAGTTGAAAATGGAGGTTACTATTTGCGTTTGTTGTTGTTGTTGAAGGAGTAAAATGAGAGGTTTTGAACGAAAGTCTGTACTTGAGGCTCGAAAGGGGGGAAACTAAACCCGTTTATATAGATCTCAAAACCCACCTATTAAGTTTTGAATTTTTCGATTAAAATTTTAAGTTTTTAACTCCCTCCATTTCTAAAATAATAATAATATAATATATTCTATCAAAATAATAGTACTAAGAACTTAAGTGTTTTCTTACCGTTAATAATTATAATTTAATAATTTAATTAATGTTTTAAGATATTTATTAGTGAACATTGAAAAAATATTATTGGAACGTGTAGATATCATTTATTACTTTGTCAAAAACATAGTTTTTTTTTATGATCAAAATAGGTTTTTTTTAAATTAACAAGTGTCTGAATGAAATTTAATACTACATTATATTAATTTAAAAAAGAAAAAAATTAAATACAATTTTTTTAAATATAATTTGACAATTGTACTTAAATATAATTTAAAAAATAAAAATAAAAGAAAATTATATATATATATATATATATATATATATATATATATATATATATATATATATATATATATATATATATATATATATATATATATATATATATATATATATATATATATATATATATATATATATATATATATATATATATATATATATATATATATATATATATATATATATATATATATATATAAAAATAAAAAAATTATATACTTTATCATATTTTTATTAAAAAATTATACGAATTTTATCCTTTAAAAAAATGTACACAAATTTTTAATCAAACCATTTTATGTTAAACGTAATGTAAAAATTACATCTACACATGTTATGTAAAAAGTACATCTATACTTAATGTAATTTGATTATAAGTTAATTTGTTACATGTATAAAAAATTACAATTCCTTAGTTTATTTATTTTTTATGAACAATTTCTTGATTAATATAGAGAGAATCTGCATTTTTTATTTAATTATTATTTAGTGTTCATTTTTTTAATTTATTATTATATTATTATTTCTTTACTGAATAAAGTAGAAAATATAGTAATTATTTCTTTTAATTTATTAAAAATTATATATACAAATGTAATCTTTAAAATTACAGTAATATTAAACTTATTTCAATAAAAATTTATTGAGATCTAAAATTTAATATTTGTATATATTTTTGGCACAGTAATTTGAGTTATAAAAAAAAATTTATTATTTATGAGATAAATTAGAAATTAATTTAAATTTTATAATTTAAGAAAATAAAAGATGTTCTGGATTGGGCTTGTCCTTGATCCAACTTTACGAGAGACTCAATCTAATTATGTCGGTCAAAGTATATTGATCAGTTCTGCCCTCGAGATCGTCGGGCAGCAACTCTCATTCCCCGCGAAGAGGCAACCTCACCACACGAGGATAAACCCAGTCAGTCTTAGGAAGATTATCGTCGGTCAGGAGGACCTCGAAGTCACCCTTCGATCCTCTCTCCGACCAAGACCGATCCCCTCACACGACCTCGCGTCTGGCGGGAGCATCCACGACGAGCAGAAGCGTCTCACGAGCATCCTCCTCGTAGGGTTGATTGTCAACGTCTCTGAATATCGTGGAGTCTTCGTGGCCTCGGAAAGACCGCATTCATATCCTCCTGATCTTGCGGAGGAAGTCATTTAGGTGGGGGATCACGTGCGGGTCCCCACTACTCGCGTAGAACCTGGCAGTCTCCACTTTGGGCCTGTTTGACCAGTCCAATGAGGAGACCTTGGCCTAATGTTGTGGGTTATAAATACCCTATCTTTCAAGAGGGTCGGATATTGATCATTTCTTACTCTCTTGCTTGCTAGCTCATTTCGCATCTCATTTTGGCGTCGGAGTGTCTTGCAGGTACCCCCCACCTCACTCTCAAGTTCTGCTCGAAGTAAGTTGTGATGGTCCATTTTGGTCAGGTACGATCAGTGGCGTCGTCTGTGGGAAACACTGCTTCCCCGTCTTCCTTCACCAAGACAAAAGCTAATCCAACTCTCTTTCTGACTGTCATGGTTGATCACACGGCAGAAAATAACCTGAATGTCCATCTCGCCGACGTCAACAACAACATCTTCGACCACGACATCGACATCAACAATGTTGGTCCCGCTGGCCTCAACACCGGTAACAATAACAACACCGACAACAACAACAACAACGACCATGTCGGGGCATGCCCGACCTCTCGGAGTACAGAGACAGGCTGACTGCCTCTTTGCCATCACTGTCCCGGCGACTCGACATCCGAAGACTGAGGCATCCCTCGAGGCCATCGTCCAAAGAAACGACGAGACCCTCAAGGAGTTCATTGATCGATTTAACCGCGAGGCCATCCAAGTCCCCCGTATCGATCATATGAAGAGATACCTGCTTGAAAGGGAACTCCTCTGGGGCACGGAGTTCCGAAAAGTCGTTGGCATCGAACCAGGCGGACATTCGATGCTCTCCTCGAGAAGGCTATGGCTTATATGGACTATGAGGAGAGAGAAGCGGCCAATAGAGCTCGGGACCTGAGGAACCGTGGATCAACCAGCAATCTGCAACAACAAGATTTTGGCCCTCCTCGACGACCGAGCGAAAAGAGGAGGGATGACAAACCACATGATCCTCGCGAGCAAAGAGGGCCCGCGGGCGATTTACTGAGTACACTCCGCTGACAGCTTCCCGCGAACGCATTTTAGTGGAGTATGCTAGTACTAATTTCAAGGACGGCGGTGCCAGGCGTCCTCGCTCTACTCATGCTAAGCCCAGGGCTGATCGGAGAAAATACTGTCAATATCATCAAAATCATGGACACCTGACTGAAGACCGTGTCCATCTCAAAGATTCTATTGAGACCCTCATTAAAGGGGGAGACTCAGGAAATATTGACGCAACGACGCCTTTTATCGAGATGCTTGCGACACAAAGGAGATTGAAGAGGATGCCCGACCATCATACGAGACGGTCCCCATCTGGACAATATTCTCCATTACAAGACCTAAGGACTTCTACGTCCCTGACAATATCGAAGAGCCTCTGTCCAACACGGTAGGTGGGAAAGGTTCCCCTCCGCCATGGTTATAAATGGAGGGGTGTTCAACGATATAACTATAAACTTCGTGAAGAGTAAACTGGATGAATTGGTCGATGCCCCCCCCCCCCCCCCCCGTAAACAGTGACATTCGAGAGGGTTAAGGGAAGATCGGAGCCGATCACATTCTACCTCAAAGAATTTCCTGTAGGGGCTTCCAACTAAAGCATTTCCCTTCTGGTTAGGGCAAGGATTTCGACGTTCATCGTGTCTTGGTCGACGAGGGGATTTCCCTTGATGTAATGTACATCCAACTCTTCTGAACCCTACAGCTCGACGATACCCACCTTTCACCATACATGGGGTCCGACTTGCAGGGCTTCAATGGCTCGACCTCCAAACCTTGGGGGTACGTGGAGCTCTTTGTCACTTTCGGCGAGGATATCGATACCAGGAAAGTCAAGGTGTGGTTTCTGGTCATCGACTGTCTGTCTCTCTACAATTGTATCCTAGGGAGACCAACGCTGGCGGAACTGACCGTTGTTCCCTCCACCGTCCATCTGAAGATGAAATTCTACACAAAGAGAGGACGTGTTGCCACCATCCAAGGTGACCTAGCAGCCACCTGAAGATGCTCCAATGCGGCGTCAAAGGGACATAGCACGATTGACACTGGAGTACGACCCGCCAAGAGAGTTGCTACAGCACGACCAGAGCCACAACCCACCAGGACAGAAGAACAGAGAGCTCCTCTAAAGGTCGACTCCATATTGCTGGACACCCATTTCGACCAGGATGAAGCACCCAACGGCGAGCAGGGACTCCTCCGACCAATCTCGGGTGGAGACTTTGAGCTCATACCCCTCGGTGAAGACCCTCACAAAGGCATGAAGATTGGCACCAGACTCCCCGACCCGGAGAGGAAGCAGATCAAAACTGCTTTAGGGAGAATGTGAACCTGTTCGCGTGGAGTGCTGTAGAGATGCCCGGTCTCGACCCCGAGGTCGCCTGTCACCAACTGGACATTGATCCAGCCACTAGGTCAATAGTACAACGTAGGCATAGGCAGTCTCCCAAGAAAGAGGAGGCCGCTGAAAATGCTGTAAAAGACCTCCTAGAGGTAAATTTTATTTGAGGCCAAGTATTCAACCTCGTTGTCAAATGTTGTACTAGTTAAAAAGAATAATGGAAAATGGCGTATGTGTGTTGACTATATCGATCTTAATCGGGCATACCCTAAAGATGTGTTCCCCTTGCCTAATATTGACATGCTGGTCGACAACTCGACCGGATATAAAATTTTATCTTTCATGGACGCCTACTCGGGCTACAACCAAATTCTGATGACGATGAGCGACAAACATTGCACCGCTTTCATGACCAGCTCAGGCAATTATTACTACAATGTAATGCCCTTCAGTCTGAAAAACACGAGGGAGACATACCAGCGGATGATGAATAAAGTCTTTCGCAACGAGATCAGAGATATGCTCGAGGTATACATGGACGACATGATCATCAAATCTCGAACAGAGACTGACCATGCTACCAACCTCAGAAAGGTCTTTACCCAAGCGAGACAATGTAGTATGAGGTTCAATCCCGAGAAGTGCATGTTTGGGGTTAAATCGGGCAAGTTCCTCGGTTTCTACCTAACATAACGGGGAATTAAAGCCAACCCTGATAAATGTCAAGCATTCTCCGAGCTCCCTACACCTAATTCGAAGAAATCAATACAAGTGTTAAACGGAATGCTCACCTCGCTCTCCCATTTTGTGGCAAAATCCGCACAAAACGCCCTTCCATTTTTCAAGCTCCTATG